CTGACTATAAGAGGAACATATAATGACAGATGAGCTGACGGTAGGCGATAAAATGATGGAAATATGGAAGAGAGGAGACTCAAAAAAAGAGTTATCCCAAATAGATAAAGGAATGGAATCTCAGCCGAGGAATAAAATACCGCATTCAATTGAAGAAATTCTGAAAAGGCCCTCATGTGTCAGAAAAGAGAATGAAGTACATCGGAACTGGTCTGTCATCAGAGAAAACAGCCAAGTATATAACCAGCATCCATGTACAGGTATGTTTTTTAGCCTTACTGTAAAAAATATTGGTTCAAATATTGTCAGAACGTGTGTGTTCTCCTTTTGATGTTGAAATTTTTACTCTGTCAATAGAAACTCAGAATATGGGACTACATGAAGAGGCTCCAAAAGCTGCAGGAGACTGCAAGAGTGCGTAATACATTTATATATGAGTAGAAAAATCGATTAAAAGGATGATTCAAGAATGAATCAGTTTGAAATTGAACCACTTCTTTACTATCATATGTTTCAAACTGTCTGCTCACAGGTCAAAGAAGAAAGAGGCAAACCAGGGTCACTTTTACACCATTCCAGGTGCAGGAGCTCGAGAAGGTTTTCCAGCAAACCCATTATCCAGATATTAGCACCAGAGACCAGTTAGCCTCTCGCCTGCAGCTGACAGAGAGCCGAATACAGGTGGGATACACGTTGTTTGGTTTGGATTTATTTTCAACTTAAAATAGTGAGATTTTTAATACTGGCCACATAAACAGAGTAATATTATTATTGGCGCTACGTTGGTATCAGTCACTACTTTATTTCCATTTGATCAAATCAGCAAGCTCCAAACACTCCAACTGTCTGACTGATTGCACTAACGAGTCCATCCATCCATTCTCTTCAGCTTATCCTTATCAGGGTCGCGGGGTGGCTGGAGCCTGTCCCAGGTGTTTCAGGGTGAAAGGCGATGTACACCCAGGTCCAAATTCATGGGCTGCATCCTCCAGAGGCCGCATTTGTAGACCGATTACGTCACAGCGACGCGCCGAAGGCTGTTCAAATTCGTAGACTCCCCCGAATACAGCCGACAAATGCGCCCTCTTTTCCCCGAAGTTGAAGGACTCCAGTTTCCAACAATGGCGGCCGCTACTAAGTTTTAAAATTACTCATACGAATCTTTCTGGGTCACAAAATAAACTTTTAACATATTTTCAGGCGAGAAAGTAGTTGTGTAAACATCAAATATCTGCTCGGTTTACCAAGATATCGCATATTTGCAAAAATGCTTCGACGTTTTCGGAGACGTCTGCCACCCACCAGCTCGACAGCTAGCTGGGAGCTCGAGGGTTACTGATGCGGCCGAGAACGGCACAACTCCCGGCACATCATTTTCACATCACCGCGGACTTTCGCTACTCGGGTTAAACGTATTATATAAGTCACTTAGACAACCTAAAAATGTTATTGTTGGGCTTTTTTCAGTGTTTTGTTTGTTCGTGAGTAAATCGGCTTGGCTGAGATTAAAGTTGTTAGATTAGATAAAATAAAACTTTATTAATCCCCCGGGTGGGTTCCTCCTTGGTTTTTACACAGCTGACTAAACGTCAAATAGAAAACTGATTAAACAGAAGTATGAGACGGTCGAGAATTTACGCCAGTGTCCTGTTATATTTTAGATAGCAAGAAGCAGACGGCTGAGACAGCGGTGACGCTAATCAGAAGGCTAGACCGTCCAATTTCAGAGCGGTTTACTTCTGGCCTACCCGACCTTCTGAGGACCTGGCCCACGTAGACCGCGAAGCCCGGGTCCTCAGGAGGATGCAGCCCATGAATTTGGACACGACCATCGGCACTCACAGTCACACCTGTGGGCGACTCATCAGTTAACCTAATCCTAGTAACTGTGTGTCTTTGCACATTAGTGCAGAGACAATAATGGTCTTTGGACAGAATTCTTGCACAAGCCAAAACCTCAAATGATTAATGATAAGGTGAGACGGGATAGGAGCACACATTTAAAATCATTAGCTCCAAACTGCAACTGTTTAGGGGTTTTTATAAAAATGTTTTGAATCATTGTTAGTTTTAGATGTGATGCAGGCGTTTTTATTACAATGCAAAATACCCCGAGACTCCTTTTATTGTGAACTGGTTCATTGTAGGTAAATTAACTGCATTAACATTTCTTCATGCTTGTATTAGTATTATTGAAGTTTAGTTCATTTTTCTAAATAAATGGTCATTGTGTGTGTTGTTCAGATTTGGTTCCAAAACCGCAGGGCCAAATGGAGGAAGGTTGAAACACTCAGAGACATAGAGCTGATCAGCAGGCAGCGCTTACTTTCGACCAATCTTCACCGGCTTTATTATGAGGTAATTTGACATATATTTTTGTAAAATTTGTATTTATTATTCTCACATGTTCTGTTATGAGGCTTCCCTCATATTCCCAACGCAGCTCGAAGCTCTTTACAATTAAGAAATAAAGCACACAGCTTAGACATATTTAAACAATAAAATGTTTATGATATTATAAAGTCTTTGAATACAGCGTGACTTTCTTAGTAACTGAGCCATTGATGAGGTTCATAAGTAGAATATCTGGGTTATTCCTGTGAGATAAACATCTTTCTCTGCTCTCACAGAAGCCCCAGCTGCAAGCAATGTGCTGCCTGCCCTGCTGTTTACCAAAACCTCTTCAAGCAAGGCTGTATTTCAGCTCATCAACAACACCGGTTGTGCTGACCGCCGCACATTCTCCTGGTCACAGGACTCTCTATGTTGACATGCTGGGAACAGAACGATAGCACCTTCACCAATTCTGCATAACACTTTTTTTTTACATTGTTTTTAATTACACGAGGCAAAGAAAAAAGTTTGAGATGATGCTCAAACGTAAACACGAATCTGTGAAATACTGTAGCCGTATATTTTGCTTTTAATGTGTCATGCTGTGTGAAGCTGAAATAAAGGCACTGATCTTTTTCTTTATCTCAATAAAGCTGATTGCTTCAAACGTTCTGATGTCTTTCTTCGAAATAAAAGTCCTCGTGATTAGTCTGTACTGATGTATTTGTACAGATCAAGGTTTGGGGGCGTCCTGTACCGTGATATACTTCTTGGTAGAGAGAGCCGTGTCACCGCACTGTTACTGTGCAGCAAAGCATTTGGCTGTGTTTTTTTTCATGACACGATTTTTCCTTGTCACAGATAAGATACAGCTTTGCCATGACCTGTTCATCTGTTTGACTTTCTGACAACCTCTCCTTATCTTAATTTGGGCTTGTAACTTGAGGTTATTGGCAGGTCAGATTTAGACAACATGTGGGATCAAAGGAGAAATACAGGGTGAATCATTACTGTATATTGGGGCTATAGAGCTATATAAATAATTGTGTTCTAGGCGAACTTAAAGAGTGAAAAGTTTTGATTCATTCTTGTTCCTTTGCCGAGCAAATGTTACATATTTATATTAAGTATTGTTCGTGGCCTTGCTTTAATGACTTGTGCTCACCAGTCACCTTGAAACCTGCTGCGTGCGACAATTCCAGGTTTTTCTGAGAAGTGTTACATAGGCCAGTTCCCAAATAATTACCAATTATAAGAGAGATAACACAGCGTCGCCTTCGCTATCAATTCAATAATTTACTTGACAGGGTCATAACTGATTACATTTAACAGGGCTCTGAGTATGGCTAAACTTTTCACCCTGGCCTTATCTTACTTTATTGCATGTGTTTGCTGTAAGATAAACCACACTGGTGGCTGAATGGGAGGGATTACAGTAAGGGGACAAAAATAGTTGTTGGAAAGAGAAAAAACAACAACCTTGAGAACCTCACAATCGTACTTTTATTGGATTTTGTTATTGTAATTCCAAACTGGCATCTTACATTTCCTAAAAGGCTGAAATAATTCCTGGGAAACCTTAGTTACTGATACCAGACAGGTTATCTTATGCCTAATAGCTGTTGCAATGTTTTACATCGAATGTTAGTTTATTGTTCACATTTGATCTTAATTTATTATTTTATACTTTGTCACTATTCTTCCATTAAACTTTTCTTTTCTCAGTTAGAAAGAATCCACATAGATTAGCTGTACCTGCTTACTTTGAGAGTAAGATCTTTTCCATATAGTTCGGAGACTTTACTGGCCACGAGTGCCATAAAGGAATCAACACAGGAAGAGATTACCCAATACAGGGTTGTACACCATTTTCCTTTCACCTTAAATATATCGCAGTCTTTGCAACTGTAAGAAAAACTTCTTTCACTAAGGCACTAACTTGCATCAGGACCCCTGTCTGGTATAAAAAGCATATTGATGTCAGTAAAAACAATTTTTTAAATGCAATGGACACAAATAACTTTTATGGTATAAACACAACCTGAGAGTGATATTAAACACTAAATTATATATATATATTAGTGTTTCCTGTTATATCTGCAGTGAGACTTTACTATATGTATACAAGTAGTTTGATTAAACTTTTTATTAGATTATAAAAATCCACAACTGATTATATGACATAAAAGCTTATAAATTGCACCTACCTGGTTGATAAAGATTTCAAAATTCACCAGTTTTTGGTTTAATTTTTTCATATACGAATTTATTATTATTTATTTCCATAAGAAAACGTAATGTAATCATTAAAACATTTAAAAAGCAGAAGGCATCCGTTTACTCAGTAACATTTACATGTTTGCACACGCTCAGATGGGAAGCGATACACCAGAGTAACCGACAGATGGCGCCCCTGCACCCATGAATAAGCAAAATTGATGCTCTCAGTTTTGCTGTGTGTCAAACAGAAGACACCACTGACCTGATTTTATTCTGTCATTTATTTAAAGCTCGTTTTTATCAGCTGTTGAATGTTGTTCAGAATACTGAAGCACTAAAACAGATTTATTTTTGTTGTTGTTGTTTTTACTTTGTGCTTCGTTTCCAGTCTGCAGCTGGCTCTCAGTGGAGAGGAGGGGTGGGGGGCGGATATTCATCATCTCGCAGCCTCCGCCCGCCTATCTGGCTCATCTGCCTCTGTCCAAAGCGGTGGAGAGACGGGGGGAACCGCAGACAGACAGGGGGACATAAAGCTTTTAGTCGAAGCGAAAGCGAGAAAGAGGGGCGATGGCCGCTGGTGCAGGATGCGGGGAATCGGTGGATCAGTACCGGGCCGAGGTGGAGCGGCTCGCCCAGGAACTGGCCGAGGCGAACCGGGAAAAGATCAGGGCTGCGGAGTGCGGTTTAGCTGTCCTGGAGGAGAATCAGGCGCTGAAGCAGAAGTATACAGAGCTAGAGACCGAACAAGAGATCCTCAGGAAGGAGTTGGAGCAGTTACAAGAGGTAAGAGGAGAGGATGGGGCAGTGATTCTATTTATTTATTTGTTTTCATTCTGTAGGGAGGGGAAAGCACTGCAGTCAGGTGTGTGACTCGCTTGCACCTCAATTGAGTGACGCTCAGCGGGTATCTATAAACCTGTTTGACGCCCAGAGGCAGAGTGGGGGCGGCAATTTATCAGGGCTTTCAAAAAGAGCAATAGTTTAATGCAACTTAAATATGATGCAATTGAAGATGCTCCAGCTGGAAAATGTGCAACACTGTATGAATAAATTGCTTTATGAATAAATTATAATGTAAAATGCTGTTTGTGCAGTGGGTATATCGAGCAGCACTGAGCATTACAGTGTCGGAACTGCAAGCACACAGTAACAGTCCACTTCAGCTCCCACAACAGGGAGTTTCTTTGTTTTCCATAGTAAGAAGAGTCATTAGGGAATTTCAGGGACTCTTTTAGGACCTTTTTTTTTTTGCTTAGATGTTTCTTGAGGGTATTTCACTGCAGGCCACATGGTGCTTCAATAATCAACTGGTCTGAATTATAAGAGATAAAGTCACATCAAAACATGTAGTTAAAATCCAAGATCTTTTAAGGTAGGTGTCGACCTGGCTAATGACTGCAGGGTGTCGAGTCACTCAGTGCATACATGTAGCAAGAGGCAGATGCTGACAGGGCTCCCTGGTCCAAGGTCGCCTATGGAAACTGCTGACCATTGGAAGAAGGAGTTGAAGGCTGGTTACACTGGTGCGGTGAGTGCTTGTGAGTGTCCGTGGCATCGAGATAGGCCCCGTCATTATTTACATGGAGTCATCTATTATCACTTGAACATCAGTTGCTTTGGTCGAACATTTAAGTCATCGAGTCACAAGAAAACTTTTCTGAGGACTGTCAGAATGCATCATGTGTTACAGGTGATCTTTTTGATATGCTAAGGGTGTTAGCTAAACCTTTCAAAGATAGCCAACAGCCCTGGTCAAAGTAATTCTCTGAATTATTCTTTTTATTGTTTCACTTTTTCGCATAAGAATCATTTTGATTCTGGTTCACGTGTAGCCCATTTGAAATAAACCTCTAAAAGTCCACATTCATCCTACACATCAGTGACTCTTTCTTGTGCAACTAGCTCACCAAATATAGCCAAATAAAAAAGAATCCACACAGTACATTAAGCATCACTTATCACATTACATTTTGCATGCTTAATTGTATTTATACTTTGTTCCTCGTACCCTTTTATTCCACTGCTTAGCTTAACATTTCGGTTTGACACGCATGCAGAATCTGAACGATCTTAGTGCAGATAACAGCACAGCAAGAAAGCTGAGGAGACAGCGTGATACAGCCAGCAGCTCAGCAGTGTCAAGCTGATAACTCACACTTATGGATTACAGAGGGATGGGTATTATGATGGACTATGGTGAGAATATGTTGAGAAAGAAAAGATAATGGAGAAGAAATATAAAGACATGGCCGTGTTTTAAGAGGGGAGACGATTATACGACTAAAGCATACTGGAAGAACTGACTTTGTTAGAGGAAGTTGCCTCTACCTCTAAAAAATAAATTAAGCACGTCAACTGCTTTTAAGCAGTAGTGTAGGCAGCTGCTCGTACATTATTCATCCTTTTAGTTTTCACATTTGTAGTAAAACTTTGATTTTAACTGAAAAAGAACATCAGGTCAGCAAAAAACCACCAACCATTCCTCAGTGTTGTGGTCGGCTCACATCTGCTTGCCTGTATGATTGACCTCTCGCTTGACAGAGGCAACATTTTCTGTATGTGATATTGCTTCAGCAGAAAAAACCCCACCTCTGGGATCCTGTGTGTCTGCTGCACACTTCTATGAATAAGAGACCAAATGGCAGCGTGCAAACCTGCCACTTCAATAACATCACATCTGCTCTCCCTGTACTCGGGAGAGGTGCAAAATAAAAGGTGCAGAAATTCCAGATAGAAACTGAAATTGCTTCTGGGATTAAGTGGAATAGAATATATAATTACAGCGAAAGGTAGACACCTTTTTTATTTCAGATTACAATGTTTTTCTTCAGTCGTATTGTTTGTATTACATTGTTCTATATTTTTCAGCAACAACTGACAAAAGGCTACTTTATCATACTTGTAGAAACAAAGAACAAATGCCTGAAGTGTGTATTTGTTATCCAGATGCCACACGGATCATATGCCATTGTGTCTGCATGTGTGTATGTCCAAGCTGCCCAGATTTGCATGCATGTTCCTACTGCGTTTGCATACGTTCTGTAGGCACACATACGGCAGCACTGTATTCCCCGTGTGCTCAGGTTGTTTGCCCTCAATCCAGGTCCCAGCTGGTGGGGAGACGCTGGTTAGAGCGCTGCTTGTGCTGCACATTCAGCTCACAAACTAAACACATGGAGAAACCTATGCAAGACACAAGTGCCTCAGCTACTGTAACACAGGACTAATTTGGGCTTGTTTTACAAAAAGTGTGTATCTGTGTGAGTATCTGGCTATGCAATGAACCACAAGGACTTGGATATGGAAAGTCATGATGTGACGTGACACATCAGCATCCTCCACGCAAATAAGTCAAACAGTCTTTGTGTGTACAATCATGCACAAAAACGTATTTTTTGGACATTTTTGCTTTTTGTTGTTGTTTTTGATGATGATGATGATCCCAGTCCTTTGTAAGAAATTGATGTTGCTCCAGTGGTATTCATCATACTGTTGCTTCTTCAGAAATAACTGCAATTGCATCTCTTTGCTATCTGCAGGGTCCAAGAGCATGTGTTGGCACTGAATACATATTTTATTTTATTTTGTCCACTGTTTACCTATACATTGTTTCCCTCACCCAGCTCCGTCTCTCCCTCCCCGTCTCAGTGTTTGCCTCACGACCCAATCAGCCGTTCCTTCCTTGTTTCTCTGTGTGTATGCACTGTATGTCTCTGGATAGCTGCCTAAGCAGTGACAGAGACATCACTACCCTGTGGCTTTGGCTTGTTAGCGCTATCTCTGGGCAGATCAACCTCAGGAAGGACACATAGTAGGAGGCAGAAGGAGGAGGATGCCACTGCAGAGCAGAATAAGCTCCATCATGTTAGTGAGGTTATATGCTTTCTAGGGATTCACGCTGTCAGCAAAGCTTGAATTTACCTTTAAGAAGTATTAGAAGAGAATCGCTCTGCTATCATTTCATAATATAATTATTTATTTTGTTTAGTTGAATAAAAATGCTTGACATGTTTCATACACCTTGGATCTGAGGAAGCATGTGAAATAAAAGTTAGCAATATCAGCTGCTTTCATAAGTCATCTTTTGGGTCTTTCGGATCAGAAGCTTGCAGAAGAAATGACATTTGTGATAAGTTGGGAACCGGCAGTTCACAGGTCAGTTTGTTCCCTCTGCTTTGGGCCATGAAAAATGCCAGCTGAGATCTGTGTCAAAGACTTCACATGGTAATCTGAAAGACCAAAAAAGAAAAGCTGAGTCACGATTCATCAGATCAACGTGGAATTTCCTAATCAGATAAGTAGAACGTAATGCTGAAAGACCGGGCCCTGCACTTCCTTCTCCTGTAAGGTTTAAGCTTCATCATCAGACATTTTAACAACATGTTTGCATTGTGTTGCACAAGCACAGTCAGCTGAGATTCTCCCACAGCCAGCAACAAACAGAAATGAAAGGAAGTCTTTTGTATGATGTGCACTTTACTTTTAGACAGAACAAAAAAGGAGACAATGAGCGAGATTTTAGCAGTTGCTCGCATGCTATAAAAGTGTGTTACTGTTAAATTACTCCAGTTATCAGTTATGTCTACTGGCTGTTAAGCTAATGGGGGGGTGATAATATGTAGGTTGCAAAATGGTCCAAAAATACTCCAGCTAGTGCATTTTTCAAAGGTACACAAGGTGAAACTTTGCTTTACATTTGGTCTGAACACACAGCTGTTTATAGCTTTCCTGTCCATGACACCTGTAAGGGGGGATTTTATAGCAGCCCTGTTTAAATTGTATTCAAATCGGTAAAACATCTATTTAAGTTGTATTTCATTATAAGGCGTGTGGCCACTAAAGGTTGGTGTAGTTTCTTCGTCTTCAGCCTCCATCTGTTCAGCTTTGTATACAGCCTGTTTATCATCTGCCAACGTTAGCATACCATCTAATATGTCAGTGAGTTATGGATTCATCTTGTTATCTAACCAGTGCTAGTGTTAGCTGATACCTCCCCAGCTCTACAGTTTGTGCATATGGTCAAGTCTGGTTTAAAGAAAAGAGGAAGAAGATGAAAAGGATGGCAAAAACCTGAACCCAAGGCTTCAAAAACATAGTCCACAATCACGTGAATGATTTCACTATGACTGGAATCTTTGGATATTTAAGGATTTCTTAATTCATAAACTGTATCCAGAGGAAAGAAGCTGAAGAAGAGCAAGCTTACTGAACAAGAATGCACAGGTTTATCTGTCTTTCTCAAAGAAGCATGAGAAAGAGCTGGACTGTATAATTATATGTGTTTCTTTTGAAATCCTATTGGCTGTTATCAAAGATGATCAACTGTATGTGTGATAAATACAAAAACAGTATTATATCCATTTTCTTTTAACATCATGGAACACTGAATCTAATTAATATATAAGTCAGTATGAGAACACTGTATGACTGTTGCCTCATCCTTTCTCCTTGTGTCTCTTCCTCACCTGCTTAATTTGTACCTATAGTAGGCGGGGCTAACCCTGACCTCAAAGCGCTTTATAAGTGTCGTGTGATTTCTAAATATTCACAAGCTTTGTGTTTGCATGGATTCCTGTAGCTTGCAGTGGACGATACCTAAACTGAGCTGCAATTTCCCGAGTTTGAATCTGGGTAGGGACATGTGTCATATCACAGCTTATTGTCTCCTTTCCATAATTTGTGCCTCGTCTCCTTTCTCCTCCATCTTCATGCCTGTGACCTGGAAATTGATCTCAGTGTGCCATCTTGGAGAATGTCCCAATTTCTAAAAAGCATTTGAAGAG